TAACAACTACTAAACAACAATACATTAACACTGCTGTGTACAAAGACATGAAAATTGATATGTGTGAACTTGGGAGTTCTCTACCTGTGCAGTTTATCTATTAATGGCCATCCCTAAATGTTTTACACTTCCTGCTGTATATCTTAGCATTTGGTCTTCCTTTTTATACTTTACCCTGTGTAGTAAATAATAGTAAATAATTATATATATGTATGTTATAACTGTGCAACTAGTTGAACAGGGCTTCCATTGAACTATCCCTAGGAACAGTCTACACTTAAACATTCAACCAACCATTACATTAAACTTCTATGGAAATGATTACCATGCCTTTCAAAAAAAGCACACTGCTATTTTTTTTTTTTTAGCAAGTAAAAACACCAAAAAAACTTTATGCTGTAGAAATGTGMCCATGGTCTTTGGCAGCCTGGCTTCTGATCTCAGAATTACTATGAAACGTGTATTTTAAATACTGAGAAACTAGAGGGTAAATGTATTTACAGGAATGAAAGGCTGACCAGAATGATTAATGAAKAAGGCTTAATCAGAAACAAACAGGGACCTATTCATAGCTGTTTCAAAAAGACAAGAATTTTGCAGATGTTGTTGGGTCAATTTATCTGAGTCACTTTACTCCGTTTTCACCAGAGTCGGGTTTCTCAGTTTTTCCCCAGTCAGGTCACTCCATTTTTACCCGAGTCTAATTACATATAGAAAAATAATAGATAAATACTGTGCTTAAGTTGTTCAGCAATTMTTATTAGAAGAAAGATGCCAGCCAGCACTTTGGCCACAGTTGTGGCCCGGGGTCACAGTTTATATTGTGACTGTTGCATAGACAGCATCACATCGATTGATTTCACTTTAGCTTCCCTGGTAATTTTGTTAAACACTTGCTGATGACTGTGACTTGACTCTGTTCGAGAGTTATTCTTTGAAAGTGTTTTTCTTTCCTTAAAAGAAATTAAATACTCTGAAGTTAGTCAGGGACCTCGTGTGTGCTTTTTTACATGTCACAAGGTCGTGTACCTTGGGCTGATGRCAGGATTGCAAATGGAGACAAAGTGGTCAGAGGCTGCACTAATCCCTGGCATGAGGGATCTGGAGGAGCAGCAAATAAAGCAGGTCTATGTTAAGTGGGTGGGCAAATGCTTTTGAAAAAATCCTCTAAATAGACTGATTCCTCTTTCCCCTCTGTGTACCTGGCTAACACTGTTTTGTGCTTTCCCTGGAGCTGATCCTGGGAGTTTTACCTTCCTGAGAGCCACAGGAGGAGAGATACTGTCTGTGTACATGTGAAAATATTCCTTGAGTTCAGATGAACAAATTTAAATAATCTGTGCTGCACTTTCATCTTTTTAATTCCTTGCTCGTCCTAAGCCTTACAGTAGCTGCTGCTAAGGGAAAGTTTGGGGAAGTCTTCCTGCCACAGAAATACTTTCATAATTTCCTTTTAAAAATCATGCCAGATATAGATTTATACTTTGTTTGTTTGCTCTCCTACTTAATATTCCTGCTCCTCACACTTGTACATGCTCCCTCTGCATAATTTCTATTTTAGCTCTGATGCCTCAGTGATGGGCACAAATAACAGTGAAATGCAACAAAACCTTTCAGCAGCAGCTTCAGGAAGGTGGTTTGTGTTGATTGCTCCCATAGGATGAAATTTAGCATTTCAGTGAAAACAAGCAAGCAGTGTCTCTGGGCAGCACACAGCTTCAGAACAGCTTTGGTGTAGTTGGCAAAAAAATAACCCCAGCAAACCAAACGAAAACCAAACCAGTTTTTATAAGCACACGCTGTATATGTAGATGTGTGTGTGAGTGATTTTTAACTTGTCCTATGCAGGGACACAGGTGATATTCCCTCCTCTTTTACAGAAATGCAGATGAACACATTTTAGTCTGTTTCTCCTGTTTCAGCTCTAAGGAAGCCCCTGCTTCTGAAATGCTGAAAATTTCAAAGGAAACAAAAAATCGCCTTGCTCCCTGTGGGGCTYCAAGGTTTTGGGCTGAGTCACAAGCAGAGACTGAAACAGGACTGTGATAGCCCTGCATGGGACTGGAGGAGCCTCTGCTTTTGCTCTGACCCCAGCCCAGAAGTAGCCTCTGATACAGGTGTGGGACAGGTGGAATTTGAAGGAGACAAGAAAAAAAAATAAAGAATAATTTCTTGAAGTATTTATTTTACTTGAATGCTTAAACAAGACTTGGGGCACAATTTTTTTTTTCTTTTGAATATTCAGAAATAATAATAATGATAGTAATAAGAGTAAAAATGCCTAGCTCTTCACATGCACTGAGGGCTGCAAAGCTGTAAAGTGAGGACTTCTGCTATCATGTCAGTGTTTAGCCTGATGCTGGCTTCAATTGCCTTACAAGAGGAGGAAAGAGCTTACACTGGCCACAGCTCCAACCCTGAGAGTGCAGATCAGGCCAGCAGTCAGGGGAAAAGACCTTCTAGCACCTGTGTGAGGGGACAGGAACACCCCTGCAATCTCTGGTTAAACAGAGTAGCAGGCAAATCCTCTTTTTAGATGRGGGCACCGGAGACAGCTCTGGCAGAACACATTTGTGCTGCTGCTCCCATGGCTCACGTTGCAGCAGCAAATTTGGGCACTGAAATGGCCCCATCTCAACTGCAGCAAAGTCCTGCAGGACAGGGAAAATTCAACACAAGCTCAGCCCTACGCTTGGCAGGGGAGCCCAGGGAGGGTTTGAGTGGTGGTAATTCCCTCCTTGGCAGAGGCAGCCCAGGCCAGGGCTCCCCTTTTTGGAGCTGTGGGTGACGCTGTGCAGTCCAGGCAGGCAAGGCAGAAACCGAAAACTACCCTCTCCCTCCGGGTCTCCCTGGCAGATCTGTTTTGTCACATTCAGCTCTTTTCTTTTTAACAAATTTTTTCCCTCGACTCCCCTTGAAGTTTTCCAGCCTTGACCAGCAGTTTCAATGTCACCTCTTCAAATATCACCTGCGATCCCCTCCTTCACCCCCAGTGCCCTTCCCCAGATTATTTCTACACGCTTCATAAAAAAMCAACCCAATCAGCATCACCAAAACATCCTTCCCTCCTAATGTGGAGCGGTGCATCTGCCCTGGCTGGGATGGGCTCATGGCAGAGCCCGGTGGAGGCCACACCAGGGGTGAAGGCGTGGGGGATGCAGATGCCACCGTGCTGCAGGTGGCCGGGCATGGAGGGGACTCCTGGAGACCACGGGCTCTGTCCCAAACTGGCTGCCCAGTAAAGACCCTCAGGGCTGGGCTGCCAAGCAGGGTGAAAGCAAGAGCCGTTTAGAAAGCACTTATAAATATCAATATTTATGCACACAAGCTGTGCATGTGTATTTAGATATTCCTATATATATGTATGTATTTATTGTCACATACACACACGTGTGCGCATCCATAAGTGCCTGCCAGGCCTGGCATCTGTCCCAAGGAGAGGTTGGGAGGTGAGCAGTGCCCTGCTTGGGGTGGCAGAGTCCTGGGGGGCACATGGAGGGTTGGGCACCTGCATCTCTTCCCTCCGGGGCACCGGCACCRCCACRGACACGGACACGGGTGGGGATCAGRCCCAGGGARYRCTACAAGGGCTGGGTCAGAGCCAAGCACAGGACTGGGAATGCCCCAAACTGCCCCAGGAGGGAAATCACCCTCCACAAAGTGGACCTCCCACTCAAAATGAAAAATAGAATTTAATTTAAAAAAAAAAGGAAAAATCGTAAGGGTTTTGTAGGGATAGGGTTTTTGGTTTGGTTTTTTTTTTTTTTTTTGTTTGTTTGTTTGTTTTGGTATTCTTTTTTCGCAGCGTTCGTATTAAATGAAGGCAATTTGGGTGCTACAAATATAAGACGAAAATACACCTAATTCCGTCATCATATAGATATAATATATTTCACTCTCACCACATAAATACAAAACATCCAAATATCCAAAACATTCAGAACAAAAGTTAGTAGCAAGGGCTCAGCGCTCAATTCATTCATTATTTTTTCRACTAGTTGCCTAGAAACTTCAGACGTAAATAATTTACAATAAAATTACTATTTTCTTTCCATCCAGCTTCTTCTGTCCAGTTCTGGTCTATAGTTAATTCTATATTCTACAGCAACCATTCCACTTTTCGTATTTTTTTTTTCTTTTTTGGTTACAGTTTGGTGGCACGTATTTATACAGTTTGTAAACGCCATGTGTTAAAGTTCAAAGAAAGAAAAGAAACTTAAAACCAAAGTAAATAWTTTTTTCCCCAAAAAAACTACCTAAATACAGCATCCCTTTTGTGGCAAATTCAAGTACCGAAATTGAACAGAAAATATTCGATCCAGAATAATTAGAAGGTGAAATACATATGGTTGTGGAGAAAATAGCAGTAAGAATTACGAAAAAAAATATTGTTACATAGATGTGTTTTAAAGTACAAAAATAACAATAAAAGATACGCTTTTTATATTTTACGTTCGTTTTAAATGAAATGTGAGCGATATACGAGASGGTTATCTTAAGAGGAATGAAGGCTACAGGTTTTTTTTGTGTTTAGATTGAAACACAACATTGAAATTATTTGGAAAAATCAAATAGAGCAGTAAAATTAAAATTACCATCGCAACAATCTAGATACAAATAGATTTGTGAGCTCCATGATTTATCTGCAGACTTGTTTTGGTGATAAGGTCCGCGGTAGTGGCCCGTGGGAATTCAAATGAAAAAAAAATACAAAATCAAGGTAAAAAAGGAAGAAAAAAAAARGGGGGACGTTGTGTTATCTCGAAGGAAGAGACAATGTTATTGAAAATTTCTGCAGCCACTGGTTTCTGTCTCCCCTGTTTGTGACTGTGCGTTCAGTCCGTTTCGGCCCTTCCCACATTCAAGATTTACCGTGAAAAAGAAAAGTTGCTGGAGGATTTCCTGACTGGTGTTAAGGGCTCGGTCAGTAACCGGGGGCTGTAGTGCAGCGAGTGTAGGGGTAAACGGGAGCCACAGGTGGGGCGCCAAAACCTTTGTGCTTAGAAATCACTGAGTCTGGCAGACACAAAAAAAACCAATCCAAACCGGGCATCACCTGGCAGCTCCATCCTCCTCTCTCCGAAATCCCGCTCCCTCGCTCGGCATTGGCTAAAGCCGACCGAAGGCAGCCCGGCCGACCCTCGCCCCGACCGCTCTCCCTGTGCGTCCCTTCCCAAACGAACGAGCAGCACGACCGCCCCCCC